ACTCCTCTTTCTAGTTCAGCATTTTTGTTGACATAGAAAGTGAGCAACTCCAAGGAAATTGGCTTTTCCTAATAAGCTTTTTCTCAAGAAGTTCTTGTATTTCTTTTTGACAGAAATTTAGAACATCATGATTAATTTGAGAAGGTCTAGCTTTAGTAGGAATATCCTTTTCTGAAAAGCCGATTCATAGGGCAAATCTACTTTATGGCATTTTCGAGACCAAAAGCATTGGGAATATTTGAACATATGGTATTTTTATTTGATTTTCAAGACTAGAAATCTTTTCAAAACTTGCTTAAGAGAGATTCTTGTCTTTCTTCTTGTATTCAAGATCTTCTTTAAGAAATTGAAGATGAGTTTCTTTGTCCTGAATGATACAATTAATCTCGAAATGAAATGTTCTTGAAGAGTATTCAAATTTCTGGTTTGGGATTTTGAAATGAAATCAAAGCATATTGTTTTGCCTAAAGTTTCAGTTTTAATTCCTTTTTCGAAAACCTTAAAAGGTTGAAGTAAGTTGATAAAAGGTGATCCCAAAATAACATTTTGTTTGATATTTTTGACAAAAAGAAAATGGGTTTTATAAGAAATTTGGTCCTTCACAACTTCGGCTTCGGGAACTTTAAAGCTTCTATTTAGCTTATTCCTTGAGGCTGATTTGAGGGACTGGGAAGTTTTCTCAAAATATTTGGTTGAAATAAGACCTTCTTTTATGCAATTAAGGTCGCACCGATATAAAAGGATGTAGTTTCCAAAACAAATTCATTTTGGACTCTTATAGAAATATTGATGATTCATTTTCTGGTGGTTATTTCGAAGGCATTAAAAGGAAGTTCATATTAGAAGAAGGGAGTTGAGGGGTTTCATTTTCTTCAGATTCTTCTTCCTGTTGTTTTCCTTTTAAATTTTTTATTTTAATATCCAAAATATCTTTTTCATAATTGCTTGAATAGCTTTGAGATCCCGTATTTCTTGTTTTTGTTTATTGATTTCATGAGTTAAATTACTTATAGAAACGGGTTTAAAATTTGCTTTCTTAGCCTTGTTAAGAATGGTAGAAATATTATAAGGATTATCGATTGAATAAGCTGGTTTAGAACCGGCTTGGGTTTTTGGAAATTATTCAAATATTTTTTTCGTTTCGGGATTAGTGATCTGGTCAATTGTTTGCAAAAGAATTTCTTCTTCTTTTGTTAAAACATTTATTTCAAAATGGTGCTATCTTCATCTTCACTTTCTCAAGCGTAAGATGAAGAGGTTTCTAAATCACAAATCAGAACCTTTTTCGAACTAGATTCATCGAAGAACTACTATCGCCTCTCGCCATTAATTGGTTGAGTTGATTAATAGTTTCTTCATTCAAATCTAACTCATTAATCTTTTTGCTGATTTTACAAAATCGAGAAGTGTGGCCTTTCTTGCCACAGTTATAGCAAGTGATGTTTTTTAAAATTCTTTATAGGTTTTTTGGTTTTATCAAAGCTGTCATTTTCTTTCTTTTTAGAAAGCTTTTTATCAAATTTCTTCTTATAAGGTTTCTTATAAAATTTCTTTTGATTCATTTGTTTAGAAGAGCATTTTCCTGAACATTTGGATTTTTCAAAAGATTCAAAAGATGGATCATATTGGGCACAAAAATCTCCCGATCCTTTTCTAGAAGTTTTTGTTCTTTTTTATTTGCTTTTGGAGACGAATATTGGTGCACAATTGTGTTCCTATTTTATAAACATAAGAGGTTAGTTCTCCATAAGAAGGTGGTCATATGAAATTTGGTTTCCATATTCTTCTCTTCTCTTATCTTACTGCGAACTTGTTCTCCTATGAGTTTTGGTAAACCATGCAAGAAATTTTTCTTTCCAAAAGGATGGTCACATCTCTTCTTTGGAAAACTCTTTGTAAAAATATTTCTTTATATTCTCTGAATTCTCCTAAGAATCTACATTTCATATTGGATAAAAGATCTTGATTTTTATCAAGAATATGGGATGAATCTCCTAGAAATTGTTGGGATATAGAAAATATCAAGGTATTAACAGCATCTTGAATGGGTTGGTCATTTTCATCAACTATACTTTGGCCAAAAGGGTCAAGTTTATAAGCGTTTAAAATTTAAGACCTTTGCTCATCATTCAGATAGTTATCCCACCATCCTTTGAGCTGGCCTGTAAATCCTGCTATTAAAAGATATGCAATAGAATGATCGAAAGTATCTGGAATAGTTTTATAAGTACTAGCAAGCATGACCATTTGTGTTAAAACATTTATAAGGTTTTGTTCAAAAACACCATCTATGTTCCATTCATAAATTACATCAGAAGAATATTTGTTTTGGGCTTTAGAAAAGGTTTCTTCTGTGAGAATATCAGGAGGAGTGGCACGAGAATAATATAGTTTTTGGGGATCCTTCCAAGTGATGCGATTTATTTCGGGGATTGATTCAGTATTAGATTTATCCAAAAGATTGATTTGATAGGAGGGCTCAATACGATCAGGAGTGTCCTTGACACTCAGGTTTTGTATCAAAAGAGTGTCTAGAATTAAAGGGTACTTGGGATTTAAAACTGCTTTTCCTTTGAGGAGTTTTCTCTTGTCTTCTAAAGCTTTAGCAAATTCAAGAGTGGGATTTTTTGGAATTTCGAAATTCTTAAAGAGTGGTGGTTTTAAATCCTTTTTAGAAGTTAATTTTGAAGAAGATGGAAAACTATTTTGAATAGAAGTTTCTTTTTTTTTTCTAATTGTTTTCCTATAGTATGGAGATGTTGGTTCGAAAAATTATTTTGCTCAACAATCTTCTTGATTCCTATGCCATCTATTTCATAGGCTGTTTTGAAAGGAGAAGCTATTATTTCAGTTCTCGATGTTCAAATTTGATTTTTCTAAGAAGAGGATGATTAGACTCAATGACTTGGTCATTGTCTAATTTCCATTTATAGAATTCATCCAAAACAAAAATTTGTTTTTCTTCTAGAAATTTATTTTCAAACCAATCAAAGAAGAATACTTGGACTTCATGTTGGTACATGTAATCATAATACTCTTTTTTGATTTTGAGTGCTTGATCTTGAAAATTTTTGATAAACCATTCTCTGATTTGTCTGTTTTCAAAAGAATTGAATTCTTGATTTAACAATATTTTGTCAGGTTCAAAAACTGATTCTAAAATATTGATTTCGGGATCTTCCATTTCAGAAGGAGTTGGATCAGGGAAATCAGGAGTATGCTGATAAACTGGCCTAGAAATTCCTTTTGGCCATCTGAAAATACAAAGGCTTTCATATACTTTTGCACTTGTACTTTAATATCTACATTTCAGTTGTAATCTTTCAATACTATTATTGTAATCTTTCCATTTTGTTTGATTAACAATTATTTCCTTTAATTTCTTTTTTACATTTACATTTACATACTCCACAAACGGCAGGTCGAACCGCATGTGGATGGTTTGTACTCTACTTTAAAGCAATTTACTGCATTTGTTATATATATTCTTACTTCTTCTTACTGTTTTGCCCTTTCCATTTCTGCTTAACAATACCACCTACATGGTTGGTTTAGTGATTTTACTTCTCATTTTATACATTGCTTATGGTCTTTATATAGCTTATAATGCTCGCTATTTTATTTAATTTCATTTATTTAATAGTCTTCTGTGTAGAAATCATCACTTTTATATTAGAATATATTATTTCCATAGCGAGATCTAGAAATATATCTGAAATTCTCTCTCTCTCTCTCTCTCTCTCTCTCTCTCTCTCTCTCTATATATATATATATATATATATTCTACGATGCTTCTTTACCTATGTTGAATTTTTAAAGAGAGTCAGAAGATCGACGAGTATTGAATCAGTCCTAAACATATTATAGATGCCTATTCAGTTCTAAACTTTTCAATTTTGCCAATTTAGTCATAAACTTTTGCTTGAAATTCCATAATATTTTCAGGTCAATTTTCGCCGGAAATCGCTGACGTGGCGATCCAGTCATTGTCGGCCATCCTACATGGTGCACCGCCATGTTTAGCGATTTTTGGGTAAAAGTGGTCGGAATGAGTACGGTGGAATTTCTCACAAAGGTATATAACTAAATTGACAAAATTGGAGAGTATAGAACTAAATTGGCATCCGTATAATAAATTTAGAACTGATCGGATAATTTTCCCGAAGATTGACACAAGTTGGAGTTATCTGTAACTGTAGATAGTGCCAAATTCCTATATCAGATTGATGTAAGAAACCAATCGAATTTTCCACTTGTATAGTATTACGGTTGTTTACCTGCTGACCGAGACAATTACTTAGCTGACTACACATCATTTGTTTCGCATATAAGCGTCTAACGTTGCTGGAATTCAGTGTTGGGGCGGAGATTAGCTCTAAGGGGGGCAGTTGCAAGTAGATAGAACCTTATCTTCAAGAGAGATGTTTACATCAACGTGTAAATTGTCAAATGTTGTTGTGTCCTCACGTTCACGAATTGTGTTTGACCAGAAGTTTCCCTTGTACTAGTCCGTAAATAGGCTTTGTGTAGTCTGTTATAATGGTTTACGAACCACTTATTAATCTTTTTATCATGCAATTACAGCTTACATAAGGAAAAAAAAAACACACATTGGAAAAAAACCAAGTTCAAGGTTCCGGCAAGGTTATTGCGGCAGCCACCAATTTACAGGGGCAAGGGCTCCTTAATATTTTTCAATTGAGGAATACATGGAGAGCTTTTTGGTGGCAAATGACCCAAAAAATGAGCGGAGAAAAGATTGGGTCTCATCACGTCTTATGTACAAGAATTGAAAGAGAGTAAAGGTGGCGCTACTTTTCAATCATTACAAGGGCAAGAACATTATGTATACACACCTATAAGTAGAAAGGACGATGATTGAACAAAGTCGATGAGAGCACAGACATTCGCTTCTCCGAAAGGCCCTAAAATGTTGGACTTGGAACGTCAGGCAGCATCCCGCATTTGAAAACATCCAAACGGCAGTTTTTCCTCGTTCACTATACCAGGGTTTCGTCCGAGTGGCAATTTGATATACGCAACTTTGTCAGATCCTGTAGATCTGGCAGCTCTTTTAATAACGGGCAACATATAATAATTAGATTCTCCAATGATTCTAATCGTTCGATACCTTGAATCTCAACTAGCCGAGGGCAATCACGAACCGCCAAATACGATAGCTTTCTTAAGCATGTTACATGGTATAGTTTCTCGAGGGCTTGACACTCTGACACAATCAATTCGCAAAGGTTCTGCAACTGTCCAAGCGCATCCAGTGGAATTTCTGTTAAGCCCGACCTGCTTACATGTACTCTAGACAAATATTTGAAGGTGCGAAGGCATGACCATCCATCTGTGGACCGAAGATCAAAGAAAGTGACCCTCCAAATATTGGGTGGAAAGTGCTCGAGAGATTGAAAGGTGGAGCCTCGTAACTGGAGACATTGGAGATCGACAAGGGCACTAAACTCCGCTGGCAACACGGTCATATCTGAAAGGTCCAAATTCAACCACGTCAACTTCGTTAACCTCCCAATCCACGGCAAATATGGTGCATGAGGCATTTTAACATATTTAGGACGCTCATGATCGCATAAAACCAGACGTTCTAAGTTTGTCAGGTTTGACAAATCCGGAATCTGCTGTAATCTCGAAGACGAAATTATCAAATCCTCAAGTAGAGAAAGCGAACTAATACTTGGTGGCACTACAGAAATACGGGTTCCTCCTAACCAAAGGCTTTTCAAAGATGATAGTGCCCCAATTTCCATCGGAACTTCTCCCTCCAAAGATTCGCAAAGTGTAGCTCCTAAATATTCGAGCTTCTCCAACATCCCTATTGCCTTAGGAAGCTTTTTTAATTTACATCTATCCATGAGAAGTACCTTTAAACTCTTAAGCTCTCCAATTGAATTGGGTAGCTCTATAATGTCTGTGCCAGATAGTTTCAACTTGACTAGAGATTTCAATTTTCCAATTGACTCTGGAATTATATTCACAGATGAATCACCTAAAGACAACTCTTGAAGACCAGCTATCTCTCCTATTGAATTCGGAAGTTCAAGGAATTCCACATTCTCCATCCTTAGCGTTGATAGACGCTTTAGATTAGCCAATGAGTCTGGCCATGCTTGACGTAAAATGCCTAGATCGAGCGTGGTTGGTCCTCCTTTAAGCATCCTTAAACCAATACAGCCATTAATTTCCAAGTGCTTCAAATGCTGCAGCATACTGAGGGATGGGTCAATTTCAACCAGCCTTCCACAATCCTTCACAATGAGTCTCTCCAAAGTCAAGCATTTAGAGAAGTTAGGTGTCTTGATCAACCTTCTACAACTCACGAGATGCAGAACCTTTAACTTACTTTTCCCCTGTAGAATTAATTATACAAGGATAGACACAAATCGTCAAATTCACTATGCACAAAGAAAAAGAGTAAATGTAAATTGCTTATATTACGTATAACCGTACCATGATTTGGTCCCATCCACTCCAATCATTTGTGATGTCAGATTCTGAAATTTTGAGGACAACTAGATTGCTTGGGGAGAAGTTAATAGCTTGAAACTCTGATGGACAATTTTGCCAAGAGAGCCATCTTAGCTCCAAGAGGAGATTTTGGAAGTCCCCAACAAAGTTTCCTCCATCGAATTCAAGGAACCTTAACTTTACCATTCTCATAATGTCTTCACGTGTAATATTGCACACTTGAGATTGTCCCCCTAGTTTGAGTGCCACTATTTTTTTTGTTCCCTTGCAAAGGAAATTATAGCTCAATTAGCCTAAGCTTTGGTGAACATAAGAAAAAGGTTCATGGATTTAACAAAATATCTTTTCTTTTTATTGTTAAAAAGGCTAGGGAGGAGTCATCAGCTCTATGGGCTACCACAAGGGTCTCACCCCTTCATGGAATGATCGATTTGAACCATAGTTACTCAGTCCACTTATAGGTATACGAGCCTGCCAAAAGCCAAAAGTTCTCTCAACACGAGATAGCAAATGACCAAAGCACAAATTGGTAAGAAGATCGCTCACGATCTAGCTTGAACTTGTGATCTCATGAAAGATAATGTGACCTCTTTACCAATGAGCACCGGTGAGCTACCATGGTCAGTGGTAATTTAACACGATAACAACCTACTTTATTTTCTACACAAAGTGAAAGGTAGAACTTTAGCCATACATACCTCTTTTCTTTGTATGACATCAATGGCTACAGTGGAACACCATATTCTAGTACGCTCTCCGGGATGTTCGATGCTTTCCTTGCGAACAAGATCTCTCCCTAAATCTTTGAGTTGGTCATGCATCCAAATGTATTCATTCATGATCTTTATGAGAGACATGTTAACCAGAACTGTGATGGCCTCATTGGGAAAAAATTCACAAGCTCTCCACATAATAATTGCATCGCTTCTTTGTTCACCAGCCATGTGACATGCAATGTCAAGGAAAATTTGTTTCGGCTCATATTCCAACATGTCATAACTTACCTCCAATATGTCCTGAACTTCTTTGGGAGGCATTTTCTTCAGCTTGGCTGATACATCGTCCCATACTTCTTTGCTCTCGTAGTAAAGTGAGGATCCGATGACTACAAGAGCCAATGGAAGTCCACCAGTGATTTCCACAATTTCTCTTGTTACTCTATCATATTCACGTGGAGGAGCATCGCTCTCAAATGCATATCTACTGAAAAGTTGAATAGCTTCAGAATGACGCATCTCCTCCATTTTGTAGAAGTGACATACTTTAGGATGCAGTGAGGCATTATTCTTGCTAATTTTCAAAAAACTGATGTCCCTAGTTGTCACCATAATTCTACTTCCTTGACCGAACCAATTGCACTTTTCTGCTAGCTTCACAAGCTGGTCCCTTTTATTCAAATTATCAAGAACAATAAGAACTTTTTTGTGGCCACATCTTCCTCTAATCATATTGATCCCGGAGTCGGTATCATGAACCTTTATGGATTTACACTTGAGGATGTCAGACAATAGCCGATTTTGCAATTTCACAATTTTACCCTGCTGTGAAAATTCTGCAACGTCTGAGAGGAAACTGCAACCTTCAAATAGCGAAGCAATTCGGTTGAAAACAACTTTGGCGAGAGTTGTCTTACCGATTCCGCCCATGCCATGTATTACGACAAAACGTACATCAAGAGAGTCTGCGCCTAACAAATTCATCACGGCTCGCACATGAACATCGATTCCAACCAAATGATCAGGCACTATTTGAACTCCTCTCGGCAGTTTCCTTAAAACCTCATCGGTAATAAGTTTTATGAGTTCCCCTTGGCTGACACACAATATATTGAGATTGAGTAATAACATAAAGGACATCAAGTTTCAGGATATTCTGAATGTGAAGTGGGAGTTCACAACAGTGGCGGAAATAGAAAATTTTGGTAAGCGGCAGAAGCAAATTAGGGCCAACATATCTATTTCAACACACACGTATCCTATCTTTTTACAATGAGAAAGGAACGAAATTACGCACACAGAAAGAGAGTACAAGATTGCTAGCAAAATAACCACACTGAAATACACTGTCAGCCTTGACTAATATTGCAAGCATCATGTTTATGCTGTGAACAAAACGAATTCCTGGAAATTTAAACCACCTAAAAATGAATAGCGAACTAGTCACGACTCTCGTCTTCCGTTGCATGCTCGGAACGGGATATACCTTTGTCTCGTAAGATGTATTTGTTTCGTGAAAAATTAATGATTTCTAAAATATTTCTTCCTAAAAATAGTAGTTAGTAGTTAGTACGAATCACTTAGAAAAATTAGCCGACGGATAATATTTTCATTATCAACAATGATCTATGTCTAAACATTTACGTTGATGATAAAAGTATTTTTCGTTGATTCTTTTTTTCTAAGCTATATTAATAATTATTTTTATGAAAATATTTTCTAAAGCATCATCGAATTTCTTGAAGAAAACGCGTCTATCTCAATGAATTTTCTCACCAAAATTATTAATTGAAAGCCTCCACGAACAGCTAAGCCAAATCAATTCTCTCTTCATTTAGTCTTGGCAAACATAAAAACCATTCGGGCATCTCTTAGTTTTTTGGAAAAAACCGTGCTAATCATATCCACTGTCGCATTTATTGATCACTTTGTAGCTCATAAGCTCTCCATAATGTATCAACTCCAGGAAATCAGAAATCCATTTTTTTCCCTTTCCCTACTAAAAGTTCCATAAATTACACTCTAACCACTTAACATGACATGGAGTGTCATCATCCTCAAGATCTGCTTTATAGTCTTTAGGTGTTGCCCTAGGGTTATTGTATTTCTATTTGAAGACATGAAAAAGGAGTGAAGTGTATAGTCTTTAGGGGAAAGCTTTCGAAACTCTCTTACCATCTATCTTTGCAGTGCCATCCTTTGATCGCAGCGACCTCTGTTAGAGCCCCTTTCCACTGTTGCACTTCATCGGAGCCGAACCTGTCCTTATGCCTTTTCAAGGCATCAACGTATAGTCCAGTTCTGAGCTTGACATCTTGGGGATCGACGTCGAAGAAAATGGGAAGAATCACTTTGTCTGTTGATCTTCTCGAGCATTCCACCATGTGGGCGAGCTCGCGAAGACACCATGCACTAGATGCATAGTCTCTGGAGAATATGGGCACGTAAATTCTGGAACCATTGATTGCACGTAGCAGCTCACCTGCAATCTTTTCGCCTTTTCGGATCTCTTCGTCATCTATGAAGACGCGAATCCCAGCTCCATCCAAGAAGTGATAGAGGAAATCGGTGAAATTGAGGCGAGTGTCCGGCCCTCTGAAATTCAAGAACACCTCATATTCAGCTCCCAGAGACTCCCTACCTTCACCCGTCGACGACGATGTTCCTGTGTCCAAGTCCCTTTTTCTCTTCATCGTCACCAACGCCATTAGCTGAGTTGAACCACTTCTGGGATGTACAATTCTTCCTAGTCTGATCAGCGATTCCGGGAGCGGATGCCGTTTGTCAAAGAGCTAAAGAGTGTACAAATCACTTTATCAATTGCAATTTGTTCACTCAATTAGATAGCTATATTTTAAGTTATAACCTTTATATTATACTGAGATACATACTGTATTTATTCTATGATTATGTAAATTAAGTAAAATTTAATTATGTTAAGTAGAATTTACCAATGTAATTAAGTAAGGTATGTTTCAAATTATAAAAAATCTTACTTAAAATTGTATATGTTGTTGTTTTAATTTTTTAATAAATTATTGTAGTTATAAATTTAATATTTCTCTGAGCTTATCATCATAATTTTTTTTAAATTTCAGAATAAACTACATTGTCATCATCCCTGGTTTAGGACTTGATCACCGTCTATGTTGCTTCTTGCTGTTAAAAATTTGCTTTGGTCACTTGGCCGCTTCCTCACGCTATCACATGATAGAGAGCAAACAACACGCAAAAAGAAAACAAAAAGATAAAATGATGTCGTTAACAAAAGGAGACGTTTAGAATGAAAACGAAAGTTGAGCTAGGTTTTTTGGTCGCCAAAGAAATGAAAAGGTAAGTGTACACTCTTTTGATAACTAGCTTAATTTGGTAGAGGATAATTTTGTCTTTTAAGAATCTTCATGGAGAGGGCTGCGACCCTTGCCTATTGGCCAGCCAGGGCCACGACGCCCTCGCCAGCTTAGAGTTGCAAAAAAAGAGAAAGAAAGAAAAGAAAAGAAAAAACAAAAAATTTGCGGTTGACGCTAATTAAGCCACCACGTCAGCAATTCCTGCCAAAATTGGTAAATTGTAAAAAGGTTTAAGACTATATTGACAAACTGTTAAAAGGTTTCAGATTAAATTGGCATAATTAAAATGTTTATGATTAAATTGACAATTGAAAAAATATTTAGAATTAAATTGTCACAATTGAAAGATTTAGGACTGAATTGACCACAGTACAATAGGTTTAAGATTTTTTGGACAATTATCCCAGACAATGACATGAATAGTTCATAAACTTTTGCCCAATGTACAATACCGTCCATGAAATTTTAATATATTTAATGTGGTCTCTGAATTTTAGTTCAATATACAATGTTGTTTTTGAACTTTTAATTTATGCAATGTGGTCCATGAACTTTTGATAAATATTCAAACTAGTCCTTAGACTTAATGAACTTATATCCTTTCATTAATTCAAGTTCATAGACAATATTGAACATTTTCACATAGTTCAGAGACAAAATGAAACACGTGCCTAAAGTTCAGATATCACATTGAACAAATTCAAAATTCATGGACGACATTATACATTGGGCTAAAGTTCAAGGACTATATTGAACAAATTAAAAGTTTAGAGACGACATTACACATTGAGTTCAAATTTAGGGATTATTTATGTCATTTTCTCTTATAGGATTTTCTAAATTTTATTTTCCCTTTTTTTTTTTGGCATCTCAGGACTTCATGAAACCTTCGGTCCGTATTTTGGGAATGGAGCAATTATCGGAAACAGAGGGTGTGAATTGAATTTTTTTAAAATTTCTTAATATATAGTTTGTGGATTTTGTTGTTATCCTTTCCCTTTTCTTTCGATGAGCGGAATTGCTTTATTATTTGGAATAGTGACAATTTATAGGCAAAAGTCAAGAACAGCTTATCCAAAAACTTTCACCGGGTCATCGGATCTACCTGTCGGACGTTCTGCAAGTTTTATTATCACCTCATAAACAAATGTTAGGCCCGCAAAAGAAGAACAAAGGGAGAACAATCACCAAGCATTTCAGTATCGACATCAGACATTAGGTCAACCCATCCGGCCAAGCTACATCGTCATCATTGTAATAGAGTTCTTCTTTGTTTATTTGTCAATCTATGGGTTGTGACGTCGTGTGCTCCACCAGATTAAGATAGGTTACCAAAATGTTTAACTCCTAAATTGCACATTGATGTCCCTCTTATTCTTGAATAATACGTATTTTTCCGGTGGATTAACCTAGACAATTTCCCAGAAACTTCGATGGTGAACGTTTGTATTCTTTTAAAAGCCTTTGCGTCCTTAGTCCTTTGTTTAATCTTTTGTTTCACCTACTGATGAGTTTGTTAATTTTTTGGTGATGACGGCCAAACAAGTTGTGACTAAATTATATAACAAAAATGGCTTCAATAATGGATGGCGTTTGTGCGGGCTGGTCCCCGGGGAATGGTGGCAGATCCTCGGTTAAAAAAAAAAAAATAATAATGGATGGCGCTGATGCCATGGAATACTGCCGGTGATGTCCCGCCGTCGTATGAATTCAAATTGTTTATTTCAAAATAATATAAGGAAAGAAAATTGATATTTTATGTCATAATAATGTAAAAAATATAGAAGAATCCATAGAATGATATTTATGTCATATTGAATTCTCTTCTTTTCTTTCCTCTCGCCCCGTCCAAACATCATGAGTGTCTTTTAATAGAGTTTCTTGCTAGTGCTTTCAAGCCTAGTGTTTGTTTGTTTTGGTCAAACTTTCAAGCCTAGTTTACTTATACCATGATTTCGACGATTGCGGCTAGAGAATCAAGCCTCGGCCGGTTTGTAATATTTTTAGTAACTTGGACCTCGAGGGAAGAAAGATATCTCTTACCTATAGCTTGAGGATTTAGTTTTCTCAATATATATTTTTCCGCATTATTCTAAATCAACAGATACCCTTGTATCCTATTAGGTGAGACTAGTAGGGGTGAGGGGTGAGTGGTTCCCGGTCCGGTCCGGTCCCACCCAAGAACCGGGAACCGGACCGGGAGGACCGGTTCCCATTTTCTAGGACCGAGGACCGGACCGGCTAGTCCTAGGACCGTGGACCGGACCTGACCATCGGTCCGATCCGGTTCGGTTCCAATGGAACCGATCACGTACTTTTAAATTAGGCTTTCTATTTTAAATAAATAAATGTATTTATTTCTCTATTTTCAAATGGAACCAATCGCGTTCTAATGGAACCAATGGAACCAATCCTTAAAAAAATTGGTAAATGCAAGAGGGAATAGATTAGGCTTTCTTTTTTTCTTCAAAAAATTTAAAAAGTAAATATATATATATATATTTATCGGTCCGGTTCGGTCTAGTTCCCACCCTAGAACCGGGAACCGGACCGCCCGGAAACCGGTTCCACTTTTAGGAACCAAACAGACCGATACTCGAGAACCGGTTTCAAACAACCCGGTCCAGAACTATCCGGTTCAACCTTGGTCCATCATGCTCACCCCTAGGTGAGAGGACGGGATCTCGGGACATAAGAGAATGCTGTTAAAGCCAAAGTCGATCCTGAAGGTTAAGAAGCTTTACCGAGTTCAAGATGAGCCCGAGTCATGCGTGTCTTGCATGCACGTAAATGACTTATGAGAAGGTTTTTGAGAAGCATTTACAAGGTTCCTCGTGTTTGAGCTCAAAGAACAGTCGACATAATGCTAAACCCACCCGGCAAAGTTTCTATTTTTTCATTATTGATCCTTCAAACTTCAAAGTGCTGAATGGGTCAACTTCTTCCCTTCTTTTTAATTCAACTTTTTTTTATCTAGACGTATAAAATGGGTCAAGTTGATTTGAAAGAGATTGCCAAAAAAAAAAACACAAAGCAAATTAATAACAAATGTGTGCCGATTTTAGCTTGCAAAATCCAAAGGTGTTCAGCTTTGCTTTTTCTGTCACGTTTTGGCTATGTTTCGCGGTAAATTCGCTGACCAATTGGAATCGAGGCCTGCACTGAGCAATTTGAATGTCACTTCTGAAAAAGCCACGCTAAGGAAAATAAAGGCGTCGCAAGGTCAGAATCCAACCCAACAGATCGCTTCTCTTTTGTCATAAGATCATGGGTTCGATTCGCGTCGTGAACAGACCTCCAAAATGGCTCGTGCTGTGTTGCCCGGTTGCAGCACGTGTCGGGCAGGGAAAACGTCCTGTTTGCTAGCATACCGATGAGATTGCAGTGATGACCTCACCAAGTATATTTCAAATCTAGTTTCAATTGGTCTGGGCCTAAGGGTAGACTTGATCGTAGGCATTCACCAAAGGGACTCACAGGTCGGTCCCAACCCAACTCCAATGTCTGGGTCCGGTCATTTAATGCACATATATTTCGATCATGCATGTCCTAACGACAAGACAAGACTTTTCAATGTTGGGATTGGGCGGGAAAATAAGATGTAATCTTGCCTTTGGAATCAGATATGAAAACTAAGCGCAAATTAGCATATTTCTCTTCTTCGTCTAAAGGCAATAAATGAAACCTGCTAATTTTGGATTTTGTTCGAATAGCCTTTTACTTTATGACTGGCGAATGGCTTTGTGATGTCTTTTTTTTTTTTTCAGTATGGAGCTTTAAAAACTTACACATAAGGACATTTTAAGTAATTTGAAATTATATCAAAATTTTTATAAAGTTTTTCAAGCTAAAATAAATTTTCAATTCGCTGAAAAGGTCAAAATATGCTTTTAACTTGAAAAGGAATAAAACACGATTTGCCCTTTGGTGTTTAACTTGATGACACTTTCACATGAAATAAGGTTTTATTGTGGAACTAAACTCTTTTTGCAAAGACTTATATCTCAGTTTACTCTCTCTCTCTCTCTCTCTCTCTCTCTCTCTCTCTCTCTCTCTCTCTCTCTCTCTCTCTCTCTCTCATTGATGACTGCAAAAAAAAATTAAAATTTATCTTGTAATATCACAAAAGCACATATGCGGAATGCGTTCATGTCATTCATATTCTCTTTTCCTTTCGTCATTCATATATCAATATCGGTATATGATTCCTTATAACCGTTCAAATTGCCACAATTCTTTTCTTTTTTGGTCGAAAAAAACTAGCCTTCATTACTTTTAAGCAAAATCTGAATGACAAGATTGATGGGCATCTTAACATAAAAGGTCCCACAAGGCTTGAAAAGGCTT